CTTGTTTCTTGTTTAGGTTTCTACATTCTCTTTCACTAACATTAGTCCATTATGTCTTAGTGGTATTAATGCTTTGCTTGGGGTGAATAGATTAATAATAAAAAATAAACACATTTCCGAATGCCATATCCAATAATAATAGTTAATATGATCTAGGTAATATATTAAAAAAATAATGTTTTTAGTATAATTTTAAATCCTAAAATTAAATTCTATAAATAGTTCTTTGCACGTTATACATAGAATATCTATTTAGGTATTCCAAAAATGTAGGAAAATAAAGGTCATATTATTATTAAAATAATTGTATTTTTATATCCTAAAATTAAATTATGTCAAAGAATATACTGTTTCATGGCAGCCTTTTTTCGTTGTTATTAAACTGATTTAAAACACTGAAACTCTGCACCAGGCAAAATATTTTTAAAAAAATATAAAATTGATTGAACCATTTCAAGAAACAAGTTTCAACAAATCCCACCAACAATGACTTGTAATAGTTTAACTAAATTAACATTTTAAGTTATTGACTCAGTTTGGAGAGGTCAATTTCTGAAATTTTATCTTTCATAATTGACAGTTTATCCTCTATCCAATTTTTAAATGTCTTTATTTCTTTAGATGTTTCATAAATTTGTTGTTAGAAGCACATATCTTATGAGAATTCACAATGGTCAAAATAGAGAAAAATTGAGTTAAGAAAATTTCACTGTCAGAATCCACACCGATCCATCGATTAAATTCCAGTTTTAATTAAGTTTCATCAAATAAATTGGATTGATGATTAAGCAATTGAATTTTAATTCTGAAAATTGAAACTAGTTTGTTTGTTTTTAAGTTAACTGAAACGTTTATTTGTTTATTCATCTTTTTTAAATAATCATGAGAAAGTGTTCTTTTATTTGTTTGTTTTTGTCATGGTAGTTGGCAGGCCTAAGTGGGAGAATAAAAATTCGATAAAAAATTATTTTTGATCTCCTTGAAGAATTTAAAACAAAATAGATGCATTAAAACAAAACAAAATGCCTAAAAATAATTTTTAAATAACACTCAAGTTGATTTACTAAACAATGTTGTTTTTTGTAAAAATTGTCTTTATTTGACTGAACATTTTATTTGACTTCAGTTTTAGCAATAAATCTTTAAAACAGCTTGAACCTCCAGTTTAACATCTATCATTTTATATATACAGGGTGTGATGGATAAGTTATCTAAATTATGCAAAAAAAAGGGGTGCATTATGGGGAGTTAAGTGGCCAGATGTAAGGGGTGATATGGTTGCAGAAATTGTCTGACAGCTATGACTGGTTTCTTCTACTTGTGTGGCATGGTGCAGAGTCCTTTTGCTAGACATAGGGACTGGCATCAGCCACTCTCTTGACCCGGGGCAGCACTACCTTATCAAAGCACTTGAGGCTTCAATGTTGAGTCTGAGGCAACATGGGGAGATGAATGGAGGCATAATGTTGCCAACACTAGTGATCGTTCCAAACATTTTCGTAATCACCATTAGACTCATCCAACTCTTTCAGAATCCTGAACTATCCTCAGATTGACACCCAAACACTCTGAAAATATTCATATTGGAGCTTCTGGTGTGAATGCCAAGCAGTACAGCATGCCATTTCCAAATTTTTGGTGGAGTGAATTGTGTCATGGTGCTCTTTTTTTCACAGTGCCCAATTTACCCTGTGCTGTTGACAAAAGCAAAACCAAACAACACACATGCATGAAATTAAAAATATAAAATGGTGACATTGCACTCTGTATAAATATTACACAATAGGCCAAAAGTTTGTAGTCATCCTCTGAATTTCAAAGAATCAGCTACAAATTGAAGGTTGCATGCCTTTTTCAAAACTAATTTACTTTTGCTCATTTCAGTCCCAAGGGACTTACTCTTCTTTGAAGGGTTTAAGGATATATTCAATAGTAATGAAATTAAACCATTACTGTCGTTTCTGTTATGGGATTCCTTTGTATTTTCTTAGTCGTGTGGTAGTTAGTCTCACAAATCATATTCTAACCCTCCCCTTACTGGTTTGGTCCTTATATAGTCTCTATGCCTTACCTATGCTAATTAGGCAGACATTTACATATTACTACAGTTTCCTTAAAATTTGATTTTTTTTTTTCCTAATTTAACTTGCTGGCTAACAGTAATGTTAGTGCTGGTGAGTTCTAAATTTTATGCGACTCCCATTCTAAAACAACTGGATGCCATACACTAATGGGTGAAATAGATTCAGTATCATAGATTAGTAGGAGTTATTAAACTAAAAAAAGGAACTTACTCATTATTAAATCCAGAGTGTGGTCCCACATTTTTGGTTTACCTATATTGTGTGTGTGTGTCTCTCTCTCTCTCTCTCTCTCTCTCTCTCTCTTATATATATATATATATATATATATATATATATATGCATGCATGCATTCACGCATGTGTATGGTCTTTTAGTTATTACTATTTTCTTTTTTTCAGTTTCAGCCCAATTCTGTGTTGCCTGAGGACGAAATGTTTTTCTTTTTAAACCTTTTTCAAAGATTATAAAGAAATCCACTCTTGTTTTATTTTTGTTTTTATTTTTTTTTATATAGATTTTTTAAAAGTTTTCTCTTTTTGACTGCTCTGATTCTCAAGTAGATCTGTCTTTGAACAGAACAAAAGATTCAACAATATAAAAGCTTCACACTGAAAAATGTTAACAAATGAAAAGAAAAGATAGCTAATGGCAGTAATGTCTCACCTAAAAATATTGAGTGACATAATCCCTTAGGATGATCAAGTATTGACCAATTCAGACATTAGCACCAACAAGAAGACATTAATATTAGTCAAAAAGAGATGTGGAAATATAAAATCAAAAAGAAAAAAAAAGAGTGGAAATTTAAAATCAGAAAGAAAAAAATTATAAAATCTCAAACAAAAAGTAAAAAAAAAAAAATAAATAAAGAAGGAAAAAGAAAAGAACTAATTAACTCCCAAACCAGAGAAAACAAGAATTATTGCAAAACCAGCAAAGACTTTTGTCTCAAAACAGTGATTAACTTAATTCTTATATTAATAACAAATTTTTTTGGCATTTAGTCCGGAAGCTGCAAAGAACAATAGTCTGACATTTAATTCTTTTTGTACTTCATCCTCCCCAATCTTTAACTTTGGTTCTCTGGCAATTATTCAGTTTCGATGATTCATTTTCCATTTCAAAATAGAATGGTCTCCATTCTGGCATTGACAGTGCTATGCTTGTTTCTGCCCATAGCCCCTTTTTGTATACCCTCCCCGTGAACCACCAATGCCAATTCCCCTATCTTAGTATTCTCCTTCTCTTATTGTCTTTCAATCTCTCCCACTTTCTCACCCCGACCACACCTGTTCCAGTCAAGCAGATCTGTGAGAATTGCAAATTTCCTCAAGACAGATAATCAGAGATTTCTACTTTACAGTGAGAGAGAAAGGCACAGAAAGAATTGGAGATTCACTGTAGACTTTTCATTTGCCATTGAGAGAACATCATCATTATCGTTAAAACTTGAAACTTGTGTGCACGCATCATCATTACTATCATTATTAGCTTACAATCATCATCATCAATAATAGTATTACTATTGTACCATCATCATTATCAACAACCTTATTACTATTGTACAATCATCATCATCAGCAGCAGCATTATTACTATTGTACAATTATCATCAACAACCTTATTACTATTGTACAATCATCATCATCAGCAACATTATTACTATTGTACAATTATCATCATCAACAACTTTATTACTATTGTACAATCATCATCATCAGCAACATTATTACTATTGTACAATTATCATCAACAACAACCTTATTACTATTGTACAATCATCATCAGCAGCAGCATTATTACTATTGTACAATTATCATTATCATCAACAACCTTATTACTATTGTACAATCATCATTATCATCAGCAGCAGCATTATTACTATTGTACAATCATCATCATCAACAACCTTATTACTATTGTACAATCATCATTATAATTAACCTTATTACTATTGTACAATCATCATTATTATTGTATAATCATAGTCATCATCATCATTATTACTGTACATTCATCATCATCAGAGTCATAACTTTAATCTTGAAGTCAATTATTAATAATTACACTCTGCAATATGGCACAATCTACATTTACAATTAGATGGATTAGTGTAGAAAGTTCCATAGTCACATAGATAATCACTATTGTAAACAGTTCAATAAACCTAGTCAAGTGATATTTTTTTTACAATAAATCGTCATCATCATCATTGCTATAAGCAATTGTAATGATGTCAATCCTCATCATATAAAGGTGGTGGATGTCATCATTATGAAAAGGTTTCTGAATTGATAATCATAACAAAACAACATAAAAAATTGCTGGTAAATAATTACTACCATTATCGCAGGGTATCTATCTCTTGGATACATTCTTCATCATATTTACCAAAATGCAATTGCATTATTATAATTTTAGTTATTCTTCCCATAATGCTCCATGGCTATTCATTATCAACAAATCAATCCCAACATTATTGATGAGTTTTAAATAAAATTAAAAAGTAAGATTGTAGCGACTTATCTATTTATCAAGATAATGATAATGACCATTCCAAAATTATCAAAGAAAAATCTTCCATTTATAATAATGATCATGCTCTTAAGTACTCATTATCATCATCCATAATGACATTGTAATATGTTTGTAATGTTATGAGGACATTAGTTGCAGTATACATAGCAATTAATGTGTTATCATCAACAAAGTCATTAACATCAGGATCTGGTCATGCATTGGAAATCATCAAGTTCCCATCCAAGACTTTTACAAATGTTAATGTCCATCATTTTCACTTTTTTTGGAAATTTTACTGATCTTTCGTAAAGAAAATTATGATGACTTATTAGTTCTGTTAAGGTAGACATGTAGTCACGATTTTCATAGTGAAAGTAATTAAAAGTATCATCGCTGTTATATTTGATACCATGAAGAGGTGGCAGATGAGGGGGAAAAGAAAATGACAATAGAGGAGCAGAAGGAGGTAGAAAAAGAGAAAAGGTGGCAGATGAGATAAAAGAAAATGAAAACAGAGGAGGAGGAGGAAGTAGAAAAAGAGAAGAAGTCATAGATGAGGGGGAAAAGTGACAACTGGAGAGGAGATAGAAAAAGAAAAGAGGTGATAGATGAAGGAAAAATAAAAATAAAGTAACAAATGAGAAAGAGGAGGGGGAGGAAAAGAAAAAAAGGTGGTAGATGAAAGGAAAATAAAAAGAAAGTGACAGAAAAAGAGAAGAGGTGGCAGATGAGAAAAGAAAATGACAACTGAAGAGAAAGAGGAGGAGGTAGAAAAAGAGAAAAGATGAAAAAGAAAGTGACAACTGAGGAGGAGGTAGTAAAAGAGAAGAAGTGGCAGATGAAAGAAAAAGAAAATGATAGCTGAGGAGAAAGCAAAAAGTGATGGTAGATGAGGAGAAAAAGAAACTGATGATGGAAGAGGAGGAGGAAGGGAAAGTAGAAGGAGATAAAATGTGGCAGATGAGGGGAAAAAGAAAAAAAGGTGACAATCAAGCAGGAAGAGTTAGAAAAAGGAGAATGGAATAATGAAAAATAGAATAAGTAAAAAATTAATGAAGAAAAATAGAAAATGGGGACAATGGAAGAAAAAAGTGACAACCAAAGAGGAAGAGAGATAGAAAAAGAGAATAGGAATGAGATGAGAAAAAGAGAAAAAGAAAAAGAAAGAAATTACAGCCAAGATAGAGATGAAGATAGAATAAAAGAGTAATGGGATGATGAAAAGAACAACAACAATAGAAGTGACAACTGAGAAGGAAGAAGAAAGAGAAGAGGAATGAGATAATGGAAAAAGGGAAGATAGAATTGACAGCTTAGGAGAAAAAAAATAGATAGTAGGAAAAAGGAATGGAAGAGTGAATAAAAAAAAGAGAGAAAAAAGGATAATATTGCTGATAATGAGAAAGAAGAGGAGACTCTATTATAATGATTGTTGCCATCATTGTCATTGGAAGAAACAAGAGAAGAATGGGTAGAAGAAGGGACATCTCACTATGCAGATCCTAATCACTCCCTACCCCTAATCACCCCCATGTGCCAACTTCCTTCCCTCACTTCCTCCACACCACCATTACATCATCATGAGAGTTTGATGGCAGAGTGCTCATAAGATGCCAGCTTGGTTCTGGGTTGGGTTAGGTTGGGTTGGGTTCAGTTGTATACAGGGTAAGGGGTTATTCGATAAGGGGCTGAGCAATGTGGCTCAGTATAGTACAAGGTTTTCTGGACTTTGTGTTGATGATGACTCAAAGGCTTCGGCCAGGAAATGTCTGCAGAATAACATGCACGACATGTTAGCCAACATAACCTAACCATTGTGCACTCCAATTAAGAGAGAGTTTGGTCAATGGATAAAGCCGAATGGCTGGCTGAGCTTGTCAGCTGTAGAGAGAGCCCCAGGGTAGACAGCATTAGTGACCGACCACATAGCACACACCATAACCCTGATGCCATAGTCCTGCCTCATCAATGTTGAATCTTTGGTGGGTTGTCTCCCTCTTTCTTTCATTCCCCCTTAAAATTCCAGTCTCACTGTCTGCACCCCTGGCTCCCATCCACCCTTGAGTTAGAAACCCTAAAATCTCATCTTAGCACAATTTTGGCCACAGGTTGGTATACACTGAACTGATATTAGATTAATTTGTTACAGGTAAAGTTCTAGGCTTAATTAAATTAAAAGTAATAGAAGAGAAAGGTTGGTTAAGAAAGAGAAAAATGACAATTTGGTAAGGAAGTTATATTTACAACAGTTAAAGTGATGAAAAGAAAGTATATGCATAAAAAGAAGAGAATGCAAGACACAAAGAAAGATATACATGAAAGGAAATGAGAAAAATAGCAGAGAGAAAAAAGATGGAGAGCAAGGAGAGTGAAGAGAGTAAGGAGGTTGAGAGTAAAGTGCATGGAAAATGAAAGAAAGCAGAGTCTAATCAGAGGTAGATCTAGGGAAGAGAATTTTACTCAAGTTCATCATCATCATTATTTTAAAACAAAGATGCTGAGTCTGTGCAAAAAGAAATGTCATACAATGGGAAAGTACTCTTCAGGACAATTTATCTGAATAAATTTTCCATCCTCAGACATTTTTTATCTGTCCAAAACTATGATGAACATTAATTAAAACTCAGTGGTCATATGTTGCTTAAAGATAGAAAGAAAAATTATTTACAAAGGGGTACAATGTGAATTGTCAATTCTTACATTAATCTCAAAATCCAGCGAAATTATTCAGGTCCTGATGCAGAAATTTAGCAATGACTAAGAAAGTCTATTGAGATCTTTAATAAAAATCTTTGGAGACTTTGAAGGAGGGGAAAACAAGTAACTAAACAGATGTCATTGCTCTGTTTCCTTATATCTGGTCTGGTGCTCCTGCTATTCATCTCAAGGTTCTTGACAAAATCCAAAGAAGAATCTGTATTGTAATAGAGTCTGACTTGGCATCTTGACTTCAGTCACTTTCTCACCAATATGATATGGCTTCCCTGTCTTTTCTATAAATATTTTCATGGCAACTGCTTTGATGAGCTTTTTTTCCTTAGTGCCTTGACTACATGAATTTAAGTGTGCAACTAGATTGGCATCTAGGTCCCACCCCCTTACTGTTGAAATAGCTAAATGCAACTGCCACTTCTACTCCAACAGTTTCTTTTCTCAGACTCTCTGCCATTTACTTGCTTCCCTGATAACTACAATCTTCAAAAATTTAAATGCAATGTCAGTCACTATTTTTTATCTGCTTGAATCCTGTTCATCTTTTGTCTTTTCTTCAATCCTCCCCATTCTCAGACTTTTCTCTCAATCTCACATTCTGTAATCCCCTGCATACTAGTAGCATTCCCCACCTTGCTTAGAGTGAAATGATTAAAAAAAAACAAAAAAACTTTATATTATTTACATTATTTGGACTGTTATCCTTATCTTCATTGTCATATTCACAATGTTTTGGCCATTGTATGCTCTAGCCTTCTTCAGGTGATCAGAATTTTGAACCGAATTCTTTATTTCATCCATCAGGGTAGATTGTTCTAGTTTCAAGTGCTATACCACTTCTGAATGAATATGGTAATAAAGATGAGGATAATAGTCAGAATAATGTAAATAATCATAATGCCTCATCTTAGAGATATAAACACAAAAACTTTACATTATTCTTTTAATACATAAACTACATAACAAAGGGTTTCAATCATTTAAATAAATGTACTACACTTGACAGCATATAATACACTTCTATATTAAGTAATATGCAGAAAGTAAAACTTTGAATATTTTAATAGATACAAAACCACATTTTAAGGCAAAGAACAATTGTAGCCATGAGAAAAAGCAGGTTGTCTTATATGACATCAAATATAGCAAATGGATAATTTTTTTTATTTTTCTATGCATTTGTAATGAACATTGCAAGGATTTATTTTAATGTCAGTTTTATATATGTCTGATAAAAACTTAAACCCTGAAGCAAGAATTTACAGAATATAGTGAAAAAATGTCACAAGAAAAAACTCAGGTAAAATTTAAGTAGGATATATGAACACAAAATGATTTTTTTACAAAATAATACACTCAATGTGTTAGTTGACCATCATAATAAATCTAACTATAAGCATGACTTGAAGAATGTAGTTCTCTTAAAAGAGAAAGTAATTTATTAAAGTGAAGATCTATTGAAAGTGCACTAATTTCTGAATCTTCCATGGTAAATTTATACCCAGGTTCACACATCATATCACCTTTCTAACAAAACTACTACTACTACAATTTGGGAAATTTAAAAACATTAGCCATAAAAACAAAAAGTGGTAATAAGCAGAATAAGGTTGGATAGGTTATGCATGAAGACACACTGAATTTTTAAAATTTTTTAATTAACTGAAGAACTCCTTTCAAAGAATGAAACACAAGATTTTTTCCATTTTGTCATTCAATTACTCACAATATACTTGAGTGTAGACATAGGAGGTGTTTACAATTATGTGTGCATATCTGTATACAGGAGATAAGACATATTTTTATTCATTTTGTAATCATGCCTTACCTAGCCCTTCAGCAAAAATATTCACACCTATGGTGGAATTTGTTGGATAGATAAGATTTTGATGAAGAGACGGAGATAAATGGTTGGCTTTAACTATTGTACAGTTTGTGCTTTATAAAAAATAAACTTAAGAACCAACTTCTGCCTTGAACAATAGCTTTTATCACATGTCTTATCTGCTAACTGGCTTATTAAGAAATAAGAAAATGATGGAAGGTACACTGCAGGCACTTTCCATGTTTAGGTTTAACTAATACTTAAATAGATCTTTCCACCCGTTGCACACTGGATTCTACAAGCGGAAGTTCTTTATTGACGACAAAGCTGTATATATATATATATATATATATATATGTTTATTTTCTGTCTTTTTTATCTGATTTTCCAATTCTTTCCTTTCCTTAATTCTACTGGTTTACAGACTTTTCATCCTTTCCTTTTATTTTATATTTTTTGGAAGTCTAAATCTGGTTTTATTTGTTTATTTCTCAGTGTTACTTTGTATTTTGTTACTTTTTCTATTATGAGTTCTCCTTTTATTGCTACTTTTAATTTTGCTTCTTTTTCTATCACAAATTCTCTTCCTTTTGCTTCCACTTTTCATTTTGTTACTTTCATTTTCATTGTGTTTGTTTCCATTTCATTACTTTAATTTTATGTTTTACATCTTTCCATTTTCTCACTCTTTCTATCAAACTCTCTACTTTTTATTTTTACTTATATCTTAAGTTTTTCTCGTCCTGTTTCTTTTTCTTCTGTTTATTCCCAGTTTTTATTTACCTTTTTTTCTGTTTTTCTCTTTCCTTTTATCAAGTTTTCCTTTTTTTGCTTCATGAAACTTTGTCCTATTTTCCACCAGTTCTTTCCTTTTTATTTTCCTTCCTGATATTTTTCTCTTATATCCCCACCACACTTATAATTTTGGTTCTTCACTTTCCCTTTGTCTCTCTTTTTAATTTTTTTCTTTTCTTTCTTTTCATGTTTTTACTTAACAGTTATTTTCCTTTTTTTTTTTCTTTTACCATTTTCTTCATTTTTTTTTCCTTTTCTTCTTCCTGTCTATAATGCTTTCTTGATTCCATCCATTCTTTTTCACTCTAAAAACCTTTTATTGCAGTAAATTCCCTAGCAGATTAAATGGAAGTCCTCTACCAAAATGTGTAATCTGTCTCCAAGCAAGGTAACTGAATGCCAAAAATACAGCTAGTTTTATCAGAAACTGAATTTATTTTTATTTTTATATTAAAAAAAAAAACAAAAAAAAAACAATGTAGGTGAGAGGGTATGAGAATTTCAGTTTTCTTTTTATCTACACAATAAATATGAACCCATATGTACAGGTTCAATTGTTGCTGTCATAATTTCTTATTTTTCTGCAAGGAGACAACAGGAAATCTTTCCTTCAACCAATGACATTCCAAGCAACAAGTATTTCCAGAAAACAGATCTTGTCTTCCTGCTTGGAAATTCTCAGCCGAAGTTTTCTAAAAGCTACTCCAACAAATGCAAATGATACAATCAATTCAACTACTGCAGTTCAACTCAAGCAGAAAATTTGATTTTCATTTTCGAAAACGGATGATTTGATTTAACCTGCTTGCCTGCCTGCCTACCTGCCTGCTTGCCTTCTTTCATTTGTCTCTTCATCTGTTTCATCTTCTCTTACATTCTTTCATGGCCTATTTTCTTCATTCCTTCTTTTCATCTCTCATCTTTTTCCTCTGTTTTTTCTATCATACTTTCCTATAATCTTTTCTTCTCCTCTTCCTTATTTCTTCTCATTTCATCATTCTTTCTTTCTTTTCATTCAGTATACCTTCATTTCTAAGCCATTATTTCCATATTCTGTCTTCTTTTTCTTTCCAGTGCACAAAACAACTCTGTGAATGAAAAGCTAATCTACCGATTCCAATCAGACACATTAGCAACATTCCAAGTGTTGAATTCTTCAACCGACCATTGATAGCGCCACTTAGTCTAATTGAGTCTTCTCATATGGAATTAAGGAACTTCATTAGGAAATGTGAACGACAATAGGATTTAACTGCCAGTGATGGCCTTCCAATTAGCCCCTCCTCCTTACTGTTTCTTCTTACTCTTCATTTTCCAAAGGTATCATAGTCAATACTAAAAAAGACTATTGTTACAATTTATAAAAGCAGAGAACAAGGCCAATTGGTTGTTTAGATAAAAGGTGTTAAGGAAATTTATTGAGTCACCTGTGGGGATTATTAGGGCATAGAGTAGCGCCATGCAAATCAGGCTCTTTAAGTAGACAAATGCTTTTGGCTAAGCAACCATTTGTGTACATTTCTTTAGAATAGGAAGATGAATGGTTTATTTTTCCATTTTTTTTATTTTTGTATTTTTCTTTCTTTCTCCTCGGTTTCTCAAATATTTAATCATATAGGAAATAAAAATGGAATAACAACAAATGAGTGTTTTTAACCCCGGAAATTATCCAAAGAAAATGCCTCTAACGACTTTGTTTTTTTTTTTATCTTGATATGTGTCGTGGGCACCAGTGTCTGTTTTGCGTGAGATTTCAGCAGCACTTGGACAGATTCTGCTTACAACTGATCATATAAATATCAACAAATAATGGTTGATTGATTTGTTTTCTATGGCTTATTAACATTTTTGAAGGTTATTTAAAGTCAAAAATATTTTTAAGTTATAGGATTTTTTTCTTTTTGAGATAAAATTATTTAGTGATACAAGTCTTACTAATTAACCCATTGGAGTGAAAAGAGGTGGATCCATATCTTTCTCAAGGGTATTTGCCCATAACTGAATATAACAAACCCAACTAGAATTAACAATTTCAAACCGTTATCCATTACACCACCTGCACATCCAATCT